AAGTCCGCACAACTTAAAGTGGGTTTGAGCAATGCAAACATTGGTTGACAACAGATCTAGCAAAACATGCCAGACCTGACGGCAGGAAGATGTTACACGCAGAATCCTTTGACGAAAGAGTGGCTGATTCACAGGGGATGTGGCTCTTTGCAGCCCCATGCCCTGGGCAAAATGGATCCTCCATGGACACAGGAAGTCTACCTCTCCAGAACAGATGCTCAAGGCAAAGGAGAGGAAGCTGTTTGCTGACAGGCCCCACTCTGGGAGAACGTGACTGGCCACAGACGTTGAAGCAGACTTGGGCCATTAACACCCCGTGCCCGGACTTTTAAACGGTCCCCCTCCAAAAAAATTGCACAAAGGGATCTTCCCCTGCTTTTTTTTTCCTTTTAAACCAGCATTAAACCAGCTGCGAATAACGCTTCATGAGATCCCTCCAAGCTCACTCTTCTCGGAGGGCGATCTACGGTGTGCCTGCTGCAGCCAGGCTCCCCGTAGCGAGGGACGCCGAAAGATTGGGGAACCCACCCCCCTGCGAGGTAGGCCCACCAGGCAGGCTGCCTGCTTGGGCAGGCCTGTGTGTTCATCCCCAGGTAGATTTCACAAGAAAGGGAGCGGGTGAGAAACCTTTTGAAACTGGATCCAAGGAAGAAGTGGCACGCCTAACTGCTCTGTCTGCGCAGCGGGTGACTGGGTTCTGACGAATCTGGGGATGAATCACGGTAATGACACAGCACAAAATGACGGAGCCTTCAAGAAAAGGAATAAAACTCCTTCTGTTTTGCCCGAGGCAGATGACTCAGGTATTTAGATGGGGGGGGGAGCAACCTTCTAAAGGCACCCTTCTTCCTAATCTGAAAGAGTCATTGCTCAGCATGCATATTGCTAAAAGCAGGATTCTCCCCCTTCCCTGCCAACATCCTTCATTAACCCGACTGCTGCAAGACTGCAAGAAAGCACGTTTCACCGCAGAGCAAGGTCTGAAGATGCCCCGGACGGAGCCTACGAAACTCCTTGCCAGGAGAAGTCTGAGTAGTCGGTGAAATCAGGGCAGCGGAGGGCATGGCACGTTAGTGGAACCTCCATTTCTAGCAGCAGCGAATGCCAGGAAAGAGACAGTCAGATGAGTTTTGGAGGGCGTGTTTTGGGCCGGCTCGTTTCCCAACAACGTTTGGGCTGTCTGGTGGGGAAACAGGAGGCTGAATTGTATGTTTTTTCAGCCTGATCCAGCTCGTCTTAAGTTTGTAGAAAGGTCCCCCAAACCACCAGAAAGCCACGAAATAGATACTCCAGTACCTGCTGGGCCAAACTGCTGGGTGGCATCGAAAAGCTGGCCCTCTTCTCAATGCCAGGGCAGGAGTGGCTCTGGGAAGGCAAGGAAGTCACCCACTTTGCAGATCTGGGCTTGGCCCCATCACCCCAGCTTGATTTGCCGAACCCCAGATCAGCAAGCACGTCTTTCCTGGATCAACGGCCCCCAAATTGGATTTAACTCCCCAAGTCAAAAACGGAGGAACCTCCCTTGGTTTTCCCTCAAACTCTGCTTCCAAACTACACTGACCCCCTTTTATGACAGTGGATAGGTTGAAGAGACCCTTCCCCACCATATCCAGCCCCCTCTGGGTCCAGCCCCAAGTTACACGCACACTGCCCTGACCTACAGCTGGACTCCTAGAGGCCAGCTTCAAGACGCATGAGAAAAAACCAACCTTCCTCTTACGGTCTCACCGATCCTGGTTTCCCTCTAGCTTCAGAAGTACTCCCAACCCCACTTTTGGGGAATTGCTCTCCGTCCACCCCCGGGGATCACCGATCTGGCGAAGCTGAGAGACATCACGCTTCCCACATGCGGATTTGCACGTCCTCGTTCCATGCCAACCTTCCTTTCACCCTTACAAGAGCGGACAAGCCGTTCGCACGCCCGGGCAATGCTCTCCGCGTCCCTGGAACTTCAAGCCCCGTGCCTCTGAGCATATGCGAAGGGCATTGTATTCCGATGCGGAGCAGGATACGGGAATTTCGGGGGGCCCTCCCCGTCTCCTCTCCCCCCCCCAATTTCAGTCCCCGAAAAACGGCGGGAGTTGAAACCCACCCCGAAAGACACGTCGCGCGCAGCAGCTCTCTTTGGAAACGGGAGCCAGGCTAGAAGCGGAGCAGACCATCCGCCGAGCATGTGCAGAGAGTCAAACGAGAGGGAGACGGGGAGCTTACCTGCTGCTGCGATCCTGGGCGAACTGCGGATGCCAAACCAGGTAAACTTGGCCTCTGAGCTCCGGGAGGAGGTGCTCTTCCCCCTCCGTAACCCTTGAACATTTCTCTCCGGCCTCAGCCCCTCCACAGACGCTCCTCTGCCCGAAAGACGCGCGGTGACTCGACCTTGGCCTTTTTTTAATGAATGGGGACTCCCGGCACACGTTACTCCGATTTTTCTCCAGAGGAAGGGGAGGGGAGGGGAGGGGAGGGACTTTGACAAGTTCCCCGCGGCTAGCCGGATGGGGAATCCCGCTCCGAGCAGCCCATTCCGTGGGGTGGGAAAGCGATACAAAGCTAACGTGCCACACAGCCCGTCCCATGGGAGGAAGCCCTCCCGAGCGAAATCGAAAGGTCCTCCCGAAGTCAGGTCACCCCCGCGGCGGCCTCACTTGGTTTCTCCCGAAACCTGAGTCACGAGACGGTGACGCAGATGCCCTTAAATGGTCTGATTTCTTCCTGTTTAGCGCGCCGGCAGAAGGATTCCCTCTTCGCTTTTCACGTGCGCGACTTGCCATCTCCACCCCAAATGTTTTCGAGGTGGGGAAAAACGGGCGCTTTCGGGGGCCCCGAGGACAGGGGCAGGCTTCAGGCCGGGCGGAAGAGAGTTGGAGGGGTCCGCACACTCTGCACATGCTCAGAAGCCGCTCCGCGCTGTAAAAAGAGCTGGATCTGGGTCTGGGAAGGTGGGTGGAAATCAGTTCCGGGGTTGAAAAAACACGGAAAGGATGCTGAGGGGTGGGTCTGAGAATAAAGAAAGTGATGGGGGGCGACTTTCTCTGCCGCCTCGCCCCCCACCCCACCCCAGCGTTCTGCCAGGCACGTGTCCATCTACCGGTCTGATCCAGATGACCTCCTTGCATTCTTCACGCGGGTGACTCACATCCCCGCGGGGAACAAAACTGGGAAATCCCCTAACTTTTCCCCAGTGGGAATTGGGCCAGGCTGCAAACCTAGAGCGAAACGTTGCTCGCGCCGGTGCCATGAAAGAGGTGTGGAGAAACTCGCTCTCCTTCCCCTGCTAGAAACTGACGATTTGTTCGCACGGCAGGAGAGGGGTCCGCTCTGGACCCTTCTCTCTCTCCTGGCCCCATTCACAAGACCCGGTTGCAGCTTCATTCACACCGTTCATTTTTTTGCTTCAGCCTGAGTTATGTTACTTGCGTGCTTTAGCGAGTTCTTTACTCACCGTGCGTGAGTTCGGCGGCCATATAAATTATGAATGAATGAATGAATGAATGAATGAATGAATGAATGAATGAATGAATGAATGTTCTTCCCATTTGGTTAGGTCAAGATACTGCTGTCCAACTATTGCAGGAGCACAGGAAGGGGTTTCACCCCCAAACTGAATTCGGTGTGTGATGTGTAACCCTCCTTTTACTGGTTAGGAGACCTTTTACTCAGATTTTCTCAGCGGTGCAGGTCTGAATTAGGAACAGAAAGCGATTCAAAAGGAAACTGCACGTGCCCCCAGAAGAAGAAAACGAAACAGAAAGTCCTGAAGGGGAGGAAACCGTTCGCCCTTCTGAAGCTGCTGGACTCCAGCACCCATCAACCCAACAGCTGGACTGGGGGTTGGGGATGATGGAGTGCACAGTCCGGGGATAATTCCACCATCCTTGCAGATATAAAAGTCAGTTAAGGGGACTCCTCTCTGTAAAATTCTGTGGGATTCAAACCGATGTGGAAAAGGGGAATTTTCTTCAAGGTCTTTCTGGTTTCAGATCTCCCCCTTCACCCCCAGAACTCTGCAGGCATCTGCTCTCCCAGAGAGAAGCAGCTCCCTCAGAAACCTTGACCGGGGTCTCATTTTATAAAAATAAAGCCCCTGAGCCCATCCACAATCAGTTCTTACCCGTGCCATGCTCGGGAGCAGAACTGCCTGCCTTGCTCCCATTGCACAGATGGGAAAACTGAGCCTGCGCCAAAGAGAAATGATCCAGCAGCTGGGACTGTAAACTTGACCTTCTGTCCCTCGTTGCTTTTAATTGGTGGGGGGGAAGGGGGTGCATTACCTTCTCCATCACCCAGTAAAGGACAATTTTATTTTTCCCCATTACAACTACTTGCTGCATCCTGGATTTCTTTCTGAACTGCAAGGGTTAACGACTCTTTCTCTTAAGATCCGGCAGGATGTGAGACAGGCCTATAGGATTTTGGTGACTCACCTTGGAGGAAAGGAGCCGAGGACTCAGTCAACCTCAGCTTATCCCCAAATCCCTGACAGAGGTCTGGTTTAGAGGATACCACAGAGAGATTCACCCCACTTGGTAAACCTGGTTCCTGATTTCTGGGGTCCCCCAACCCAGCATACACACGTACCCCAACTAACCAAACAAGGTTTGCACATACAAAGCCCCTCAAAAGCCAACCAAGCTCAAAATGAACTCACCCAGGTTGGCATGTTGTGTGAATGCCATCTGCTAGAAATGCCTTTGAGTTAGTGACCCAAGAACAACATCGGTGCCTTAACAAGCTGCGGGGCGTCGTGTTAAGCTCCAAAATGGTCCTCTGCTGGGCATGAGAGAGCAAGTCAGCCACGGTGTGCAGCTAACCTGGCATCAGGTTAAGAGAAGGGCTAGCTCCGAAATAGGATGGGGTGCGTTTGTATGACCTTCAGAGAACCCTGAACGGGAGGAAGCTGGACTCACCAGCTTCCTTTTCACAGGCCATAAGCACTGAAACAATTAGCTTTCGAAGCTCAGAGGAGGCTAAGAAAAATCAGCCTCAGGGCCTTGATATGCACTGTAATCAACTCGACCCAGGGGACAAGTGGACTAATTCACACAGCACAGAGAGCTGCTGATCTGGTTGAGCAGGACACACAGTCCAGCCCTTAAGATCTTTCTTGGTGTCCCCCCCAACCCCCTGAAGCAAAGATTCAAGCCACAAGCCGGGGGGGGCAGATTGGCGAGACTCACGTGTCGAAAGATGCCAGGATCGCAGTCCAAACCTAGAAGCTTGGCTCGAAGCGTGAGGTTTCTCTATAGAGATTAGTCACTCATCCTTCCTTCTGGAGAGATTTCACTCCCGTTGCAAGGATGTTGCCTGGATCCAAGCCACCTTCTCTTGCAAAGACGTGTCTCTTTCCTCCCATAACCAAAACCAGAATCGGGAACAGAAGGTCAGGCTAAGGACGAAGGATAGGCAAGTGGACACCAGCCTCTGGCCAGAACAGCCAGCATTAGCTACAACGGTGTGCTCTTCCTGGCTTTCCATGGTGCTAAGCTATAAATCATGGTTTGCAAGCCAGAGTGACCAGGTTCCTCCAGCAAACTAAATCCAGACCAGCAGACCACATGATGGCATCAAGCTTGCTGTAAATATGTTCTGCATACACACTTGTTTTCTTTTATCCTTAAGTTTCCTTGTGGCTCAGCGTGCCGGTTGGCTTACTTGATGGGTCAGTGTGTTGTGCAAATAGAGGGAGAGAAGGTCCATCCAGGTTATAGGTGTTGTGTGAATGCAACGACTCCATGGTACCCCCTTTTCCCATTAAGAACTGTAGAGAGTAAGGAATGACAGAGATTGCTTGACAGAGATATGCAGAATTGTGACCTAGGCCAGCGTTTCTCCACCTTGACAACTTTTAAGATATGTGGACTTCAACTCCCAGAATTCCCCCCACCCCAACCAGGCGCCGCGGGGTGTGTGAGGGTGGGTTAGACACCCACTTTTTTTTTTCAGATGGGGTGGTGCT